TAGACCCGTTCTTGACAAGCCAATTCGGGCCACATCTCAACTACTGTCCTAGCTTGGTCTTGAAGATTCGATAGTACTGTGGTATAATTACGTGTATATATACATGTATGTAGATATATCTACATAATATATATATATTTAATTATATATATATATACTGTATATGTATGTGTATCATTGTGAATCTTTTATTTTTTTCGTACAGTTCATGATCTGCACAACTGCAGGATCATGCCACGAAGAACCCAGTGGAGCCTATCTGTCTACAAATTGCCCAAGTCATCTTGAGAATCATGAATCAATATGAATCATAAGTCATATAAGTCCAAAACAGCAGCTCATCAGCATAGAAACCAAGCATTTGTTGGAATCTGTTCATATCTTTTCACCCAGCCTCTTTAACTGTGCTGCTCTTATTGCCCGATGTTCAGCTCCATCGATATAGCCGCAAAATGGGAAGGTGTCCCGAACGCCCTGCAAGGCAAGTCCGAGTTGACAGAGATGGGAAGCGCCCAAGATGAAGGCGAGCAAATGCAGCTGGCAAATACTGGCATGTACAAATGGGATCAAATGGGGACAAAGAGCAACAGTTCAACACTCAGTACTTTAATCATCTTTAATCTAAATCATTCTAAATCATTCTAAATCTACACTCTACAGTCCAGCAGCAGCTTCAAACACGACTCGAAGATAAAACCATATGAATATGATAGAATATGGGAATGATCATGAATATACAAACAGACCTTGCACACACTTGACATCACTCGACCATATGTTCAAATGTTCTCTTCAAAGTCTGCGCCTTGTGTGACTCCAATTCTCTATCCGGCCCCCAGGCTTGGACAGTCATGGGCAAGCTGCTGCCGGGACGCCAGCCAAAAATACGGAATCACACATGATAATATACCAGTATCGACCAGTATGACAATCTAATATGATGATACCGATATGATATTCATATTATACCCCTTGCAGTGCCGCTTGATGCTGTCTGTGAGCGTTTGCGTCGAATGCCTCTCGACATGTACATTTCGGGCCATCTTCAGTAGCTTCTGGAAAGAGTTACATGGGTATGCTGCATGGGATGGTTGCACAGTGCGCTGCTGGTGTACCTGTTCGGAACCCTCTTTGTCTCAGCCTCACTGATCTTGTTTATATAGTCTATTGGGAAGGGTTTGCAGAAAGCCAAAACAGCTGCCATCATGAGGGTGCCATCCAAGGCAATAGGACGGCTGATATCTATCTTGAACAAACATGTATGTAACGTAACATTCCAAATATATATAACATGCACAAAATCATCAACATTCTGTCCATTGCTGCCTCACCAATATCTTGCAATATCTTGCAACAACATACCCTAGAAACCAAACAATCCACTGGCTTCTTGCACCTTCTTCAGCAACAGGAAGAGCGGCCATCTGCAGCCAACAAGCAATAACCGAGCAACATGAACAAACGAAGCAACATCACATACTCTACTGTGACATGCTTCCAAATGTTCAAGTATTCTCTTGCATCACTGCTTATGAGGAGTTATGAGGCACGTTCAATGGTCTGGCCTGTCCAAGTGCGCTTCTAAAACCTCAGATGCTTGTTGGAGCCGCAAAACAGCCGCAAAACAGCCGCAAAATGAAGCACAAAGTTCTCGAGAGCGAATCGGAGAAAGCTGAGTGCCGTGCATTTCTGTCAATGCCAACAATGGCGCTCAATAACGCTGCCAAAATATAAGCGTCTTTGCTTTGTGTTTTTCTCGAATCAACTATAAAAAATCAACATATTACTTGATTTTGATCAGGTTCAGAGGAGCAACTAGCTGGAATAGCTCGTAGCAAACTAAGAAAAACTGTGTTTTATCAGCACACCCATGCGAAATCATAGCACGCTAAAGGCCGGCAGTGACTTGTCGTCCTTGTCCTTCTCTGATTCTCACATATCGAAGTGAATTGCTTCGATGCAGATTTGCTTTTCAGCAGGTAAAGTAGGGTTCATTTCCGGATGTCTCCGCCACTTCTCTCTCGCCATTTCAACCAGTCTACTCTGTCTGGACTGTCATGATTTGATGTTTCAAGCTGCGCTGGGTCGATCTTCTCCTCTTGTGCACTAAACTAGGACCTGGTATCCACAAGCCCTAACCCAAAAGCAATCTCCAAGTCTCATGACTGCTCAGTCTCCTTCCCACAACTGAGACTGGCATTTGCTGACCCCGTGCTCAGAAAAAAACACCTCTGCATACCTCTGCATTGTCACGAGAAATATCAGATAGATCGGATGGATCGGATAGCAAGTCTCTGTGAAGCAAGCCTCTGAAGCCTCCATGTCTCCGGGTCAAACATTTTGTGCATCCATTCGGTTTCTCAAGCTGCGATGCTTCTTGCTATCTGAAAAGAGACTGTGGACCTTGAAGCTCAAAGCGCTTGGCTTTAAAGAACGAAATGCAATCCATCGCGATTTTAATCTTTTTTGAAGATGTCACAAGGAAAATGGTTGGAAATTCACTTGGGGAGAACTGACTAAGCTCCACAAAAGGGCTTCAAGCTTCCGAATGTACATGCCACTCTGATAGTGAAACTGGCGTGCCTGAAGCCAGACCATTCACGAGTTCGGAAGATTTCGGAAGAGGTCTGAGTACTTGTTGATCTACTGTAGTCCTTACAAAAATTGTTGAAGCCAGTTAGTTGGAGTATTGCTGGAGTATTCTTGGAGTACTGTGCCAATTGCATCAGAAGAAAACACGTTCAACAACCCCCGGGGTATGATACCAGAAATAACACCAATGATCAGAATGGTCAGAATGGTCCTAGTCCCATCTAGTCCCAGTTGTGCATCTTTTATGAGAGCCATACCGAGATGGCTGGATTCTTGAAGGTCGCAAATTCTGCTGTTGACACAGTAAAAAAATCTGAGCAGATAGACTAGGTCACTAGCTCATTTACTGAAACAGAAATGCCCAGTAGATTGAGCGACTCACATCATTTATCATCATTTCAATTCATTCTAGCCTACAACTGGCCGGTGTAGGTGTTTCAAGACCTTCTTCTTTGCATAAAGCACTAGTCTGATGAAAGAGTCAAGGGCTCTTTGGCACCGACTTCCATGGCACGTTGCAGGAAGGATTCACAATTCACACCGTCAAAATACCCGGCGTCTTTTCGTCTCACGATGCGGCCATATTGCCTGAGGCCGAGAAAGTCCTTGCAGTGCCTCTTTCAGTCGTATACCATGTGCATACAAACGAACCAATGTCATCACAGAAAGTAGTACAGATGTGGAAAGCACAATGGAAATGGTGGTTTCAAAGTTGCAATGCAAGAGGAAACTTGGTAAATGCATGTAAATGCTATCCCCCGCCTGATCGCAACACTTTGGACGCATCCAAGTGAATCAATATGCAAACATTAAACATTATTATAATACATTATAATTATGCGTAATATAGGAAAACACAATGGATAGCTTCACGGTGAATATATGCAATATAGCAGGAATCTTCGACCAGTAAATGCTATCCCCAACCTTGACGGAACAATTTTGAAGTACCCAAGTGAAACGATGTTCTCACAGAAGGTATTGCAGATGTGGGAAACACACGCGAAATGATGCTTTCAAAGTACCTTTGATTGGGTAAAAGGATCATTCGTGAATGCTATCCCCAACTTTGACGCAGTGAAGGGCGACTTTCCCTGTTAGACTTCTGCACCTATTTCTGTTGTCCACGCACGATCATTGCGACTACCCTGTTTTGGGATAATATGGGATAATTATAAATATAATTATGCTATACGATCTACGTATATTGATCTCTTCTATTGTACTCTGACATCAAATAAATCACACTGCGATTCCAAGTTTCCTGTAGTTCCAAGGACACCAAGGGCTCCGTAAAGCTGCCATCCTCATACCTGGCTTTTCATCCCTGCAAAGCACAAAGAGGCGGAGACATACTCTTGTATGAACAGGGTTAAAATGGTATAAACATGTATAAACATGTGCAAACAGCTTAATAAATGAATCTACATAATTCGATATAATTCTATAATATTCTATAATATAAATCATTATAAATCTATCAATGAACGTTTCATAATGTTTCTAAAGATTGCCCGATGACTGCACTACGCTTCGCCTTGATCTGATTGCGCTGCACGAATCTGCAAATCTCAGGCAGCGCCTGTGAAGCTTCTGGTGTGGGTAAGCCATGGTAAGCCTAGAGTGCTACCAAATGCTACCAGGATCTACCAGGTCTGAATTCTGAAATATTCTGAAATCAAATAAAAGCCAGTGATCTAGTGATATCTAGGAATCTAGTGGCTATAACGGGGTCTAAGTCGACTACATTCGTAGAGGAGAGATGTCCAGCAAAATGGCCTGGAAGCATGGAAGGCAACAGAAAAGAAAAACGAAAGCCTTTGAACCAAACTAGTTACATGGTCCATACAATTCCCTACATTTGCAAGGAAAAACTTAGTGTCAATATCTTCAAATGGAAAGCAGCATGTTTTCACCCATCGGCTATCGCTATCTCTCGATGCATACGAATCAAGAAACATTCAAGAAACGATGAACCAGCGTACCAGCGATAAAAGCAAAATATATCATGCAATGCGACGACTCAGAACTTGGGAAGAGCATGAAAGAACTTGGAAAGACTGAGAATGCGACTCTTTCCAGAATCTGCTCAAACGTCTGCGTGTTCAGCCTTGCGTACCATTTGTTTCTTCTTGAGGTGAAAATGGCTGGTGGCCACAAATGCCAAAGTGTTGGTGAGCTGGAACTGACAAAATATGACACAATAAAGGCTTTGAGGCTTCGCTCCATTCATTCTCCTCGTCTTGAACAAGTTCGACAACTGAAAACTGCTGACATTCCTTCTCCCAAAAACACTGAACAGCGTTGCAAAAGCGGAAAAGGCCCGACGATTGCTGGAACTTACATAACCGTCGAATTGAAGACTTCTCTAGGCCTCTAGGCTGATCTGGGCCCCCGTGAAACCCTGCCTCTCAGTGGTTGCTTCCATTAGCCATCGCACCATGTACCTTATGATTTTCAAACACAACTTGCTATGGACACCCAGAGGAAAAGACAGGCAAAGTACGGAGATACTCTCAAATGTCAAAACGTGAAAGTACCATGAGACAGTCATGTGGCTTACAAGTAAAACTAAATTTTTCTCCTCAACTAAGGAAAGCACTCTACAATGTACTTCTTTGCAAGGCCAAGGGCATTAAGAAGCAGCTGCAGGGGAGGGTTGTCCAACTTGGAAACCATGACCTCATTCACAACAGAAATGAATGGATCAACAAGGAAGATTGTGAGACATTGTGAAAAGCAAATTGAGCTCAGCACACTGTTCTTGCCTGGGCTGCCCCAAATACCAACTCCTTTCTCCTGAGTGCAAACATCTCGAAACGAATCAAGGGATCCCTTTCAGCCCCAGATGGGTTCCATATGGTTCCAGCATATTTCTAAAATTTCGAAACATGTCGATACTTTTGGCATCTGTCGGCGCATTTCCGTGTCTTGGGAGCCCTACAGGTGTCCAACAACCAGTCGGCGGAGCTGAAGCTGTGCCACCCTTTTGACTGAAATCCCACCTGAGTTGGACAAAAGCTTGAGAAGAAAAATGGCAAACGAGTTGCAAACTGAATCAAACTCATCACATCAAACAAAGACATATCAAAACTGTAAAGATTTGTAAAGAAGGTTTGCTTTTCATTGTGGTCTCAACATGTCTCAAAATTTAGATCCGACAAAATCAGAGACGTCGCTTCCAAGAAAGATGCTATGTTTAAGGATGTTAGTACGACCAAAGATGACCAAAGCAACTTCTGACTGGGCAACAACCAATTCGAAACAATTCGACAGACTGATGTGGGTGTTGAGGAGTGAGTTGGAGGATCTTTGAGGTCTCAACCCAATTTTATGATCTGGCACATCTTCAGTCACATCTTCCTCTGCGCGCCGAACAAAGGCTTCGGTCTCATGAAGCTTGAGCAGCATATCTCGGGTGGCAACAACGCCTTTGGTGTCGATAAAAACTCATCAACCAAACGATTTTCCCTCATTGAACATATTTCTCCTGCGACCACAGCTGTTCCAACCTGGGCACTCCGCGAAGGACAAGAAGCTCGACTTGTCACGAAAGACTGTGTGCATGAAATATGATGTGTGCATTTTCCTCAGCCTAAGCAGCCAGCAGCAGTCGCTCGTTTGCCTCCATTTTGAATAGGACGCCACACAATCTCATACAAAATCACAACTCTTATTAAATTGCTTGAACATGCTTAAACGGTTTTTGATAGTGTTCGAATGTTTATATAAAATATTATAAAATTGTTTAAAAGTTCGACTGGCCTCGTCACTGTCTTCATCGTCATCTCCATCCTCTTTCCAAGACAATTTCCTTGAGCAAATCCGGAAAACTGATGAAAACTGGGCAAATGGGCAAACATGGGCAAACGGATGCAAACGGGGTCCTTTGGTGGAAAAGTCACAGTTGATACAGTTGTCTCATGTTGTCTCTAAGCACAGGGCCAGCACGGACCCTCTTGGTCTTCATCATTTCCGCGATAGAGAAGAACCTGCCAAGGGACTCGCAGAAGCAGGTATTGCGTGCAGCTCTGTTGCCAGCTAAAAGCGTCTGAAGGCAAACTCATCGCCAGCAAACCAATGGAAGACATGAGAACGAAGAAACATGCAAGAAGTCCAAAGTGTTGGAAGGTGTCGGCTTTCCTTATTTCATTGGCCTTGATGAAATCTACAAGTAGAGTTGAGAGTGTGCAATCTCACTCTGCGACCGCAAATTTTGCACACTCCGAGAGCCATCACAGTCATCACAGCATTGTCATCAAGTTTGACACGTCAATTGTGCCATGTTGTCACCGGATGTCACCGGTCTATTACTTTCAGCTTTTGGTTGATCTAGCATGATCATGCATGATCTAGCAACCACATACGGGTACCAGATTCCAGATGATCGACGATGTTCTTTTGGGTAGCAGTGAAGGAGCACCTCATAATTGGCAAAAGTATTTCTGAAATGGCGATGGTGATTTTTCCCTGATGTTCTTCGTCTCTTTGTCAAATTCCTACGGTTATCGACGTGCCAACAGAATCAAAGAAATTCAAAAAAACCTGTCAAGAGGGAATGAGTTTAAAGATGTTTAAAGGTCCCGCCTGGTTGCTGTTGAGAAACTTGGGCGCTCCTCTGAAAGTACCTGCAGCCTGAGAAGCTGAAGCAGCCAATGTCAGCCAACTTCTGAGTCTTCTACAGTAACATGAAAAATGCCGGCAACTTGCCCAGGTTCAGGAATGTTCAGGGGACATGCAGTCACTGACTTCTTTGACGTCTTTCCCCATTCGAAGTCTTTGAATGTCTTTGAAACAGTCTTTGAAACAATTTAGTACAGTAAAAACGCACAGCTGACGCAAATGCAGGATGTTTCTTATGATTTATGTTTTTTTCAAATCTGGACTGGAAGCCAATGCTGTATGGCTGGCTGCTATTCGCTTGCAGTCATCTGCTTTTGAACACATGGTCGAGAAAACGCGAGACCCACTGCTAATTTCGTTCCCTCGCAGCCAACTGAGCCGATACTTTTCTCCTTGCATGGTTTGGCGCGCAAAATGACGAGCTACTTTGAGCGCGCAGTCTTTCCGAAACCCCAGAGGTCCAGCGGTAATCAAAGCTCAGACTTCAGATCGACCTGGACAAAGCAAGTAGCAGTCAATTTACGACATGTTCAAATTTGTTCAATACTGAACACAATTTCAAGACTGAAAACAATCCAAAGATTCCAAAGCAGTAATACGACTCATGATACTCATCGGACACATGATGCTTTGCCAATGCGAATTCAACAATCTGCTTCAACAGCGAACAAATCCGTTCGGATGCAAACAAGCGAAGTATCCTTGGCAGCCTTGGCAGCCGCATCAAACTCTTTTGGCACGTCCTTGATGCATGGAGAGCTGGGACAACAAGCCGACAACAACTCTTGTGGATCTCATGGATCTCGTCACACATTCGTGGACTTGGAGTCCCGCGATATCCCCTTTCGGATGGTTAAGCAGCCTTCTGGTCCAATCCGGTCCCTGCAACCAAAGAGCATTGAAATTGACAAAGAGGTGGCCATACCTCTTCACCTGCACGGTCGAGTGTTCTAGTATGTTCTTCCATGTTCTTGTACATGTTTTTTGTGTCCAATAATGATGCCTGTGATGCAATATGATGCCAATATGATGCAATTGTGATATTGATGTAATGTAGTAAGGCTTCTGACTCGATCATTTGTATCGGACCGGGTCGGACCGAGTAATATCGAGTAATTATCTTGAGATATGTTGAGCTTGGTTGCTGCTCACTGCTGGTCACCCGTGGTCACCCGTGGTCACCCAATGCTCCAAGTCACGAGGTCAAAGTGCAGCTCCGCCTTCGTTCACAATGCTGAAGCTGCTCACAGCGACCATAGCGACCAGTGTCAAAAACATTCAAAATCTATAATGCATTATAATGCTATCATAGACGAAGCGAATCGTTTTCTCGTCCGAAATTCTGTGTGCCATCACGTGCCTCCTTTCCCATCCATTCAGAGACTTGCTCATCAAGGGAGTCCAACATTGTTTGATCGTAAGAATTGTAGAAGTTCTCCAGGTACTGGCCTTGAAACAAGATTTGAAGCGAACTCTTCAAGTACTGGTAGGATCTGGTAGGTTCAATCATTTCCAGTGGATGCCAAATCTGAAAGCTCCTGATGCTAATGTATGCTAATGTATCTAATCCAATGTATCTAAGGCAATGTCAATGACTGTTAAGGTACTTCCACTAGCTCGCAACTTTTCTCAATGGCTGGGAGCCGTGCGACGCCTTTCCTGCGCCTCAACACAAGGCGTGCAATGTTCATCTGTTTTGCACAATCTCATTGTCCTCATGAGTGCGGATTGAAGCCAATTTTGCTTCAACATGTAGAACAATCAATCAACCACAGGTGGAATTTCCAAAAAGAAGCCTTACAGCCTTACCTGAATTATTTATATGTAGAATTACGATGAATTACGTAGATTTGCCTCGTGTCTCACACTGGATCTCAAAGAAACACATGTCCCCAGCCCCCTTCCATTCCAAAAGAGCCTCATCTCTTGGAGCGCATTCACACGACGCGTTTTGCGAGGCGTGGTGGAAACCTCAACGGAGATACAAACCCACAAGCGTGCCAACTTGGAGACAAACATGCATATATCACTACCCACTATTTTGCTGATAATTACATGTATACATAATTATACATATATATATAATTATATATATCATATAATCATACAATTATATATATATATATGTATACACTGAACTATATATAGTGAACTATATAATAATAATTATTATTATTATAATGATGATGATAATAATAATAATATATATATATATATGTACATAACTCTGTATAATTGTATGTATAATTGTACATCTTATATAAAATTATATATAATTATACATCTATCTGGGTAAATTAGAATATTTCACTAACCTGAATTAGGGCCACCAACTGCTTGCGGTCCATTAAGGCCATTTGGGGATGATTTCCCTTACGCAGTGAGGTCGTTATAATTTACTCATATATATATATATATGTATTTTATAACTATAATTATAACATATAATATAATATATATATATATAGATAATTATATATAATTATACATATATATATAGTTATATGGTTATATATATAATTAATCGAAGGAAGTTTAGAAGTCAAACTTCCGACAATATGGACAGATGAAAAGCAGAGCAGGGAAGAGGCAGAGAGAAGAGAAAGACTAGAAGAAAGAAGAGTAGAAGAGAAAGAGTAAGAAGAAAGAAGATGCAGATGCGTGAAAAGGTAGGAAAGTCGCGAAACACTGTGTTTTTCCAATGATTTGCGGCTCCGGAGGGTCGAAAAGTAGGCTCGCTAAAGCGGCGGGTGCGGAGCCAGCTGGCCAGATGAGAGATGAAAAGTTGCACGCCGTTGTGGCGCGAAGCACATTTCCAAGTCAAAATGTACAAAACACCTCAGTGTCGGACCACTTTTGGAAGTTGAGATGTCGAAAAAGTGCACGCCGTTGTGGCGCGAAGCACATTTCCAAGTCAAAATGTACAAAACACTAGGGGTTCGGACCACTTTTGGAGGTTCAGATGTCGCTTCGCTTCGCTTCGGGTCATTACACTACACTATACACTCCACTACACTACAGTACATTACACCACATTACACTCCACAACACTACAACTACAACTACAGAACTACACAACTACACTCCACTACACTCCACTACATTAAATTACAATACACTACGCCACATTACACCACACTCCACTACACTACACTACATTACACTACACTATACACTCCACTACACTACACTACATTACACTACACTATACACTCCACACACTACAGTACATTACACTACACTACACTCCACAACACTACAACTACAACTACAGAACTACACAGCTACACTCCACTACACTCCACTACACACCGCTACACTAAATTACACTACACTATATTACACTACACTAGAAAGATTGATAGATAGATAGATAGATACATAGAAAATAGATAGGTAGGTAGGTAGTTAGTCAGAGAAAGAGAGAGAAAGAGTGAGAGAGATCAAGCACCTTTCAGTCCATCAGTGGCTTCGCTCTGCCATCCCGGATTCACAACAACCAAGCTCTCCTATAGGTTTCCTATTTTTGAAACTTCTGCCGCCGCCTTGTGCGGTACTACTGGTATATAATATATATATATATATACAGTAATCATATACATGTATATATATACAGTATATATATATACATACGTATAATCAATATATTCTTTATTTGATTTGCATATGGTCTCGAAGTTTGGTACAACTGAACCTTCAGCTTTTGGGAAGCATGCAACACATGAAATCGAGCTCCGAAAGCTGCTGTTTCCAGGCACCCTGCCAAATCCAAACAACTTTGTCATCGTTGAGAAAGAGGATGCCTTGAGTCTTGAGTGAACATTGTACGTTCTCATTGGCAAAAGCTCTCTTAAAACTTGTGCTTGAATCATCCGCTTCAGAAAAGATCCGAAAAGAACAACTTGCAGAGCAAATTCTGCCTTGTATTTCAAACATTTCCAAGTCAAATGCTCTCAAACACGTTGTCAAACCGCCTGCTTTCTGCACTCCTCCAGCTTTTGATTTGGCAGTTGCTCGCAAACCTGGATGGAGGAGTCTGCAAGTTGAAAGCCAGTTGAGGATGTTGAGGTACTGGAGATTACTTTTTCAGGCAAATAGATGCAAATAGCAGTTCCGCAATGCAGCATAATGCAGCAGTCACCCGAAACAGGTCATGATGAGAAACGACAAATGCAGGGGATTCATGTTGAATTTGGAACGATTAGACCCGTGTAGAAAGTACATCTTTCTGAATAGGTTCTGATCGCTACAAAAGATACAAACATGCCGAAACATGCCCTTTTTGCAATTCGTCCCTGCCGGTGAGCTGGCAGCTGGGCCTCATCCATGCATCTTGCAAAGTAGTCCTGACAAAATCAAATTCTGTGACTCAAAGCTCTCTGACGCAGAGATTAAAAGTCAATGGTGCTGGGTTCAATCCCTTGGCCAAGCCGGTCTGTGCAGGAAAATCTTGTACATTTTCAATATGGAAGCATGTGGCAATCTCCTCGCAGAAGTTGTGGGAGGTCCCACAAACAGAAAAGCAAACATCGTGGCCTTGATGAAGAGATATGAAAAGTCTCTGAAGAATCTGAAATCTTGTTTTTGGATGTTTTTGGTGCCGGGTCGTTGAACGGCTCCCGACTGTTGTCGTTTTTGAAGTTCGTATTGTGGGACGATGAAGTTGTGATGTTGCGAGGCGTGCGGTGGGGTCGGTTGGGGAACCGCCGACCGCTGGCTTGCTTACTGACTTGAGTGCTACTCTTCAAGTTGCTCACTGATTTGAGAGTCACGTTACAACTCTTGATACCTGTACGCTTGGGTCTGGAGATAATCCCACCCACGTCCCACATCGTCCCACATCGTCCCACATCGTCCCACAAGATTTGGTCATGTTGCCTTGATGAAGTTGGGGCATCATTTAGCGAAGTTTTGATTTTCAACTGTTTGACCTTTCTGAAAACGAAGGCTTTGAAAACGCCCAAAAGGCGCGAACCACTTGGAGACCATTTAATGTTCTGCTTTTGGCTTGTAGCTAAGATCCTCTTAAGTTTTCTGTCATATCACTGCGTCTCTGCCAGTTTGAAATTCAAATTCCTTCACTTGTGCCAACAACAGACAACACTCGACATCTTCTCCGCAAGGGCTGTGGAACGGACTTCCACTGTGGCTTACCTCCGAGGGCCTGACCGTTGCAGCATCGCCAGAGACCGTACGGCTCCTGATAGGTCTGTTCACTCCTTGATTTTTTTCTCATTCTCGCCGAAACAAAATGCAAATTATTTTTCTTAGACAAAATCCTTGGATCTGCTGACAAGCCAATCAGAAGACACTGACATCACTAATATCACATGCACATTTGATCACCTTGGCTTAACCTCTCAACTTCTATCACATTGTAAGATCGCCAACATCTTGACTCAATTTTCCACCACGGCGACTGCACAAATTACTGTGCGAAGGTTGAGCTTTGAATATTGAACTTCACTGGAAAACATATCCAAGCTTCGGATACCACAGGTACCTTGGAAATGATCCGTAGGCGAAATTGAAAGGATAGAACAAACTAGAGTCCTCGATGCGCTAGATGTCATCGAGCTAGCGCTCCAATGTTATGAGGTGCAACTTGTGTGGCTCTGGAG